GTTTCTAAACATTACTGCAGAGCTTTGCCATATCAGAGCTGTAAGAAGTCACTTTAATATTCATGCAGGACAGCAGAGTGTCGTCGGTCAGGAACAAGCGGTGTTTGGACTTCATCGTACTACCGTAGCAGAAAGACCTCTGGCTTGAGTTTGGCAAGTAACTGCTAGCTAGCTTTGTGGTCTGGATCAACTTATAGCAAAGTGGAGACATGAAGAGAGAGAGGTTACACAAACTCTTGTGTTTTTCCTTCTGACCAGATGAACCATCTTTTCAAAATCCTTATACTGATCACTACACTGTGTTTATATGCTAAAAGAGAAATCATTTGCGTCCTTGTTACTAAAACAGATTCTGAAGTATTTCACTAACTCAGAGGGCATTGCAACTGTGGCAGTTTGTCTGAAAACAACAACTGTAATCTCGACATTTCAAATTTGTTCTCAAAATGGTCAAAATATTTTTCTTAATGTTGTTGGGAGAAAACTCTGTAAAAAACCCAGGAGAAATAAAGACACAATGAGACAAAGTTACTTTCTTTGCTAAACGTGTACACGGGTGAGCTGCTGAGAACAACTCACACCATGAACAGAGGCTTGGCACTTTTTATAGGAGAGACAGTGAGAACAGGATAAGAAAATAATAAACAGATAAAATAAACAACTCCATATGTGGCGCTAGTCTCGTCAGCAGAGAGCTGGGAGAAAGCTGTGAGAGATAAAACAATCTAAAACAATATGTCCCAAAACAATATGTCTTTGCTGGGAAAGTCTAAAAGGATAATTCTAAACTAATCTAACCATAGACAAAGGGCATCTTTGTACATTTAAAAGAAGGTAAAGAAACATAGAATCATTTTCCACTAACAAATGTGGCCCCAATACTCAGTCGTATTAAAGGGAAGGTTATGTCTGTAACATGAAATTTTTCTTAGTTTTATTTTTTCACCCAAAGTTTGCGGGAGCCACAGCTGAGGGCCAAAAGAGCCTGCAGCTCGCGGTCGCCAACCCCCGGTCTAATGTCCGTACCTGCCCTTGTAGGTTTCCTAGCCTGTTTTTTCGATTGTGCATTAGCCCACAAGAGGATGAATGTTTGTTTGAAAAAATATTTGTTGCATCTCACACAAATTCATTGATTTTGCTGTAACATATTTAAAAACACAAGGCAATGCAACATAATAAAAATTTAAAACAAACAGCTTTTAAATGAATTTCAGCCCTTGCAAGCTAGTATCTAAGTAGCATGCAAACATAGAAAATAATGTTTAACTGAGGGAACACCAGCAATTATAATCAAAGTAATGCAAATGTAGACTTGTGCCTTCGATTATTAAGTTTAAAGACATATATCTATGTGTAAAGTCTTTGTAGTGATTTTATATGTTCCCTTCTTAAATCTGAGCCTCCATTTCTCTTTCCTCCAGGCATGGCCGTCATCTACCAGTAGCCCACCCAGCTGCATTTTTATATTTATGTTCATAACATCAATAATAATGTCGATTTTATGAGATCCACAAAAAGTGTACTGAAAATGATTGAAGGTTCCTCTGTGTGCACATCCTTCCTCTCACCCTCAAGAAGCTCCAAGCTGTCTCATCAGCCTTAGTATTTGCTTATGGGTTGCACTGTAACCAGCAAACTGATATCTATATCATGTAGTGCCATGAAAGAAGTGAACTGGATACTGCGTTTTGTGACATGTTTGCATGAAAGGAACATATAGAGGGTATAAGGGGTTGGGTGACCTCCAAATTAGAGAAGAAAATCTGTTCATCTCTTATGTCTCACTGTAAAAAGGCAAACTGAACAGGCCCTCTACATTCTGATGCCGATTTTGTTGCTGGTACTGTAGCATTCCCCCACATTTTACACAGAAACAACCATGGCAGCTGCAAATTAAACCGCAGTAACACGTGCTGCTTCATCCTCTCTCTCTCTCGCTCTCTCTTCTTCCTCTTCTCCATCCTGCAGGGCTCTTGCTGTGACGACAGCTGTAAAATCACCAGCAGCGGCCCACCACAGCAATGATGGTCGCCACCTAGGCCATGCGTTGATAGGAAGTGACTGTTTTACTTAGTGGGTTGAGAGCAAATGTTACTGTTAAAACCAGATGCTTAGAGTTTTGTGGGCATATTAATGTGTTGGATGGTGTCTGAGACCAGCTTCCATTGTGACAAATAAAATCCTTCTATTTCATACAATCATCGCTGTCATTGTAATTGAATTCTTCTTCAGATCTGAGTTTAGCCTTTGTTAAAATAAAAACTATTAAAATGCACTTACTGTCATGCATTATTCTGATAGGTTACCGGATAAGAATATACATCAGAATTGGTCTTTATCTACAAAAAAACATCATAGTGTCAAAAATATTTTGCAGTTTGTCAGTCT